AGACATAGAATTTTTTCTCTGTTTGGGGGAAAAAAAAAAGAAAAGAAAAAGCCTGCTTTTTTTGCTGATACATCTGGTACTTCAAGTGCTTAAAAACAACTCAACTGATTACCTTTGATTTAAAAACTTCTCAGAAGGAAATTGCATAACAAGACAGAGAGCTCAAATATGTGGGTTTTGGCAAGGACCTGCGGAAGAAGGGCCTGGCCATAGCAACCTCACAAGGAAAGAACTTGACATTTTGAAAAATTTTTATTGACCAGTGTGGACAGGGAACGGGAAGTCGGATCGCTCTCACAGGCAAGCTGCAGTCTCTTCCTTGCTGACCTTTAAACGCCACTTAGTGTCACCAGAAAGTCAAGGAAATGCTAATAACAGGGCTTTGGGGAAGAGAGTTGCGTATGAGGGATATCTCTTGAAAACAAATGTAGCTAACTTCCACTTTTATGCACATCTATTTTTACAAAATAGGCTTCTCACAACAGCACAGTTACAATTTTGGTGGAAAAATCTAATATTGTTTTATTAATATGATTAAGAATTTTGAAACTGTCCATAATAAGTTCTGTTCATGTAGTTTGTAAAAGACATTTTATAATTCACTTCTGAACTGATGACTTTGGAGCACAGACTAGTCTTTGGTTTAGACTCACAAACTCACTTCCAGTGAGTTCAGTGGGATCTGTGCTTTCATAGTCTTGCAAAAAGTAGAATTTTAAATATCTTTTGAAAATGAGGCTGGTCTTCCTAAGTTGCTAGACGACTCTGAGGTCGTTGGGAGTAAGTGAAACAGTCTTTGAAAACTAGATCTCAGATAGAAGAAAAAGAAGAAAAAAAAAAAAGTCTATTTATACCCAAAGAACGAACCTTCTGCATTAGGAGAAAGGAAAAAAAAAAAAGAAAAGAAAAAGAGTTGGGGTGGGAAAGAAAAAAGTCCCTTGCACTTCCCAAGCTTAAGGGGAGGGGAAAAACCTGGATGGCATGCTAAGCCTCACGCTGGATACCCAAAACCTAGTCCATGGAGTCGATAGCACAGCTGTTTCTTGTTTGCCTTCTAGCCTATCCTTCCTAGAGCTGAAAGGGGCTTTCGTGTACCACATGTATGTGGTTTGATACATGTTTAGCACTATTGCTCAGTGAGAGCCTAGCTTCTCTCCTGACCTGTGCAGCTGCAGGTCGTTCTCTGGAATTGCGCTTGTGTTGGTGCTGAACTTTGGAAAAAGTAGGAAACTGTTTCCTCTTTCTTGCTCACTTTCATTGTTTAATGGTGTTTGAGTTGTCAGCCAAGTACTGGAGCAGCAGTGCTCTGGCAAAGTCTGCAATTTTAAATTTTTTAAATGTTCTTTATGCAATTCACTGACTTCTATAGTGTAATGCAGTTACAAACACGTCAAAGTGGTAGGAAGAAGTTTGACTGTACACAGAACATTCATCGTAATCAGTTATTAACAAATGAAACAGAGGATAAGAGCCGACTTTTTCAGGAAGCTATAGTGGCTACAGTGCTTGAGCTTGATTTTATTTATTTATTTTCCCTCTCGCTTATGCCACTATAATTTGCATAATCCCACTAAGATCAGTAACACGTTAAAACAAAAAGAAACAAGGGATCACTTGGGCAAATGCTGCGTGCAGACCAGATCACTGAAAGATCCCTGCATAGTGGATGTTGTGTGCTCTCAATAATTGCCTGGCTAACCTGTCTGTCCCACTCAATCCAGTGGTTTAGGAGGAGGCTGTACTGTATTTAGTGCAATTTAAGAAACATAAAACCTGGGTGGGGGCTGATCTCTCTAGTTCAAGGCACAGCTCTGCAAAAGCACTCATGTCAGTGCTTTATGTCCAAGAGTATTTTGCACTCAAACCTACTAACAAGGACTGCGCACATGGGAGAATTTGAAGGTGTGCACCTAGTTAAAGCTGCCATTGCTGAGTAATGCAGTTTTGAAAGCCTCTTTGGTGTTGTCCTGGTGCCATTCCTCTAGAAGCTGTATTGAGATTTTATGTCAAGGAAGAGTTTTAAGAGTCGCACAATAATGAACTTTCTATGAAAGATGGGACTTGGAAAATAAAACATTGATGAATAGCCAAGGCCCTTTTCTAGAGTCTGTTTATTATAGACTCCTTATTCTTTCATGTTAGTGTTACATATTTTTCTTGTGCCATCTTCTGTGAAATCAAAGATTTAAAAAAAAAAGTAAAATGTTTAGTTTTTCACCACTATGTTCTTTCAGTGATCTATTGCCTGAAAAAGGCTTTTGATAGCTCTTCCGCCCAAGACCCAGAGGTGGGATTGAAAGCGATAGCTACCTAAAACTGGATTCATTCTCTGATCCTATTTCTGTTCCCTGTATTTGTAGTGCTGGGAATGAAGATTTAGGGTTTAGTAGTAACAGTAGTAATCTTAAAATCTAGTAACAGAATTTCTCAACTTTTGACACAGAAAAGAAAATCAAACAATTAAAATAGTCATAGAAGCATAGCCTGTAAAATGCACTTTAAAATTACTTTACTTGGTCTTTCTGTGTGTTTGTGAAAAAAGGAGACTCTTCTATAGTTCACTCATTGAATGCTGTAATTTTTTTATGAGTAAATGCAGTTCATTTAATAGAACCAGGAGTGATATGCAGCAAGATGGACCTGAGAATTGAGGGTTACAGATCATTATTTTGTCACTGGCAAAGGCAAAGAAACTACCAATGCTATTCAGTTCAGAGAAATCAGCAATGATGATGATGTGGCAAATACTGCTCTAATCCTTCAGTGACACCGCAGAGGCAGATGTTATGCCTTGTTTGTGCTAAATGCATCGTAAAAGCTGGCAGAAGAGTCTAGCTGATTCAGGGTCCTAGTTTTAAGGCAGCGTTAACATCATACGCACAGTAAAGGCAGGACAAGCCACAAGCAGGTTGCCATCCACGTTTAACGTTTTCAGTTGCTTTTGCAGGTACCCACAGTTCACCAAACTTTGCCTGTTTGATGAATACCTTTTTGCATTGCTGTATTTGTTTTAAGCTGTTCACACTTCATTAGTGCTTTTGCAATGATCCTAAAATTAAGTGAATTGTCTTTTTAAGCCTGCTGCCCCATTTTTTTTACCTAATATTTTTCTTGACCGTAGCAGAGAGGAATTAACCAGCTTGTTTCATGGTTTCCTGAATCCACCACAATAATGAAGAAATGGTACCACTGAGACAGAGCATTTTCCAGGCCCCGTACTATTGCTGTGCCTGTGCTTTGTATCCCCTATGTTCTGCTTTTCTGCTTTTAATGCATGTATGAATTCTTTTTGTGTGTGTTGTTTTGCCAATTCGTGCTAATTACTATCAGAACTCTTGCTTGAAGTGTAAAATCAGTGCAGGTGCAAAGTCCCGGGATGGCAGCCATGGAAAACATGCTTCTCCCCTCACCAATAGGAAAAACTCACGCAGCATTTGGAATTTGCCCGATTCACAAATACAATTGTCCTGAGGTGGAGATAACCCTTCCTGTAGGGAATAAATCCATTCTGTCTTTCCATCCTGGGCCTTGGTGACAGCCTGGGATACCAGCAGATGTCCAGAATTGATGTAGCCTCTGTGAGGTGAGGGGTTAAGCGATAGATGCACTTTAAGTTGCCTTATCTTGGTCATAGTGGATGCTCTCCTGCTGGGCATTTTGTGACTGACTTTGCACGTAGCATTATTTCCTTCCCTGAGCTGGTGAAAATAGTTCATGTGCACTTTCTGAGTGTATAATCACTTCTTTAAATAGCTTATTCTGAAAGTTAAATACGTATGTGCAAATTGCTCAAACTGGAGAGCTTACAGTAAAAGAAATCTCCATCTGGAAAGTGATGAGCTTTGTGGGGAGGGGCCTCTGTTTCTTGCAAGTAGGTACTGGATGACAAGATTCCACCTGAAAGCATTATATCCCTCACAGATGAGCTTTGAAAGTGCAGTGGCATATTCCAGTGGGATGAGAAGAGCATTATCAACCTGCCCTTCCACAAGTAGATATCCTCCTTCAGCTCAGAATGGTTTGATGTCACCAAATCGAGTGACAACTCCAAAGAAGCCATTTTTGAGGAGGAATGACCATCACATAACTTAAGTAAAAATGGAAATTCCGTGAAACTTCTTTTACTGAAAAATAGAGGATAACAATCAACAGTTTTTGAGGAATGAGTGTTTGCAATACCCTCCAATAGCAGATGCAAAAATGTAATGGAACTGAATTTAAGCCTCCAACTAAAATAAAAATGCACAATTTCAAGAAATTGTGTTTCCTGTTTGTTGGCTTTACATATATTATTACATACTTAGTTATATTTTTATGTTAGTATAGAAATAATGTTAAGGATCTAATCTCAAACTGGTGAAATCTGTGGAAATATTTTATTGATTTTTGTTAAGTTTTGAATAAGAACTAAAAAATTATTTTAACATTAAGGAATTAGTTTCTGTTGCTCATTTTCTCGGGACATATTTAAATCCAGAGTGGTGTCAGCCATTGATATATCTTTGATCAGATTCAGTTATTCTTTTTAGCCAATTTCTCTTACATAAATCTGCAAAGCAGAATCAGGTAAATGAGGTATTTTGATAGTAAAATTGACACCTGGGATACAGTGTATGGTTAATACACTGATGTGACAATAAGCCTTACTTTCAGAAATATATTTCTTGTAATTAAAAAAAAAAAAAAAAGACTTTAATGAAGTCTCTAGATAATATACTTTAAACAGCAAACAGGGGTATTATTCCCCTCACCAGTACTGTTGAACCAAGTAGGTTCTCCTGCTGCCTTCTTACTTAGTAATATTGCCTGTAGTCTTTGTTCCAGTTGACCTTTAAAAGTATCTAAAAGTTACAGTTTGCAATACAGCGAGTTTGGCAGAGGAACAGACATGATTATTCATATCATTGTTTAAAGGGTAACCAGATGTGTCTTGTTTTTCTTCTTTCTTTTCCATTGTTTTTAAAGAGTGATGTTAATCCAAGATGTTAATCCATTTACAGGGTTTTTCCACAGCACCAAATTCCCCTTCGGTGAATTCACGTTCCAATACCTTGGGCCCATCCCTGTCCCTCGGTAACATCTCGGGAATGACAGCAAACCCAGAAGTGAAGAAGCGCAGAGCACCTCCTCCACCAGTTGTGACGCCTCCGTTGCAGAACATGGAGATGAAAGGCCAGGAGAAGACAGCAGCACAGGTAGTAGCATCACCACACTATGTGTTTCCTGGCTAAATGGAACAGCTGCAAATCAGTTTATTCGTCAGCGCTAGCCATTACCACCAGCACACTGAAACTCTTGACTTTAGAAAATAAATAAATAAATAAATATGAAATCCGGGAGTTTTGTACATATTGCTTGAGCCTGCTCAGTGTTGCCTCATGCTTTACTCGTGTGAAAGCTGAAAATTATGTAAGTGACTACATATCTGTATTGGCCAGGATAGTCTTGGAAAATAGGTGATTCTTCTAATAACTGATATATATCTTCAGTACACCCTTTTGCCCAGATACATGTTCCTTAAAACCTATTTTCAGTGCTGCAGTGGGACAGTAGGTCTGCCCAGCTTTTTGAGCTGGGCCAGGTCATCTGTTACAAACTAATCCTTTATTTTGCCTCTTTAAAGAAAGTCACTGTTTCTTAACACACTCCACCAGAATTAAATTTTTAAAAGTGTGGAAAATGAGGACCTAATGCTCTGAAAAGAGGATTTTCTGGGAAAAGGAATGCATTCCTTTTTTATAGCATCAGTCAGGTACATATGTTATTAAATGTATACATAACTCATCAAGACTTGGTTTGTCTTTGAGAAAGAAGAAAACTGTATTTGTCCAGAAAGAAACCAGGGCATAGTCTTTGAGTTCTTTCTTACAGATGAAGGAAAGTCTGGCACTCAGTCTGACTCCCAGTCCTTCTCTCTTTGGCCTGCGTTAACATACATGAAGTGCTTAATCTAATGGTCGGGTATTGTGTAAGCAATGTTGATGCGCAGCCTTGAATTTTTTTTTAATTCTTGTATCACAAATATGAGCAATACCTACAGTCTCAGCCTGGACTCAGATTCTGGAATGTTTTTTTCCCATTCTTAAGGTAGCTAATAGTATGGTTGCTGGGATATAAGGGCAATTAGTTATCTTTCTGAGTCTGAGTAGGTGCATTTTGAATTTATTACTCATTTACAGATGCAGTGCAAGAGAAATGAGTATTTTACTTTGCAATGTTTGGTGATTTTTTTTTTAATACTTTTGAATTTCTGACTGGAAATATTTTGATACAATTTCTGTTGTCCCCTAGAGCTAAACATTCAGTGTGCTTAAGATAAGTAGATGTTTCTTTAAGAATAAGGCATTATAAGTTTATACCAGTGTAGTAGTCACAGGCTCTATTGTGCTGCTTTTGTCTTGGGCTTATCTTTGTATAGTATGGCACTGGCATTTAAAATCAGAGGGACCTGGACAGACTGGACAACTGGGCGATGAAAAACCTCATGCAATTCAACAAGGCCAAGTGCAAGGTTCTGCACCTGGAGAGGAATAACCCCAGACACCAGTACAGGCTGGGGACCGACCTTCTGGAGAGCAGCTCTGCAGAGAAGGACCTGGGTGTCATGGTGGATGATAAGCTGACCATGAGTGCCCTCGTGGCCAACAAGGCCAATGGGATCCTGGGGTGCATTAAGAAGAGCATCTCCAGCAGGTCAAGGGAGGTGATCCTGCCCCTCTACTCAGCCCTGGTGAGGCTGCATCTGGAGTATTGTGTCCAGTTCTGGGCCCCACAGTACAAGAGGGATGTGGAGCTGCTGGAGAGAGTCCAGCGCAGGGCTACAAGGATGATCAGGGGCCTGGAACATCTGCCTGCGGGCGACGGTGATGGTCTTTTTTCAGTGGTGGCCACTGACAGAATTAGAGGTAATGGCCACAAACTGAAGCACCAGAAGTTCCACAGGAACTTAAGGAAAAATTTTTTAACAGGGTGACAGAGCACTGGAACAGGCTGCCCAGAGAGGTTGTGGAGTCTCCTTCTCTGGAGATCTTCAAAACCCGCTTGGACGCAGTCCTGTGCCACGTGCTCTAGGTGACCCTGCGTGTGCAGGGGGGTTGGACTAGATGATCTCTAGAGGTCCCTTCCAACCCTAAACATTCTATGATTCTATGATTGTATTATACGAAAACAATAGCAGCTAAACTGTCTTTAAATGTGCTGCCATTCCCATTTTCAGCATTGTTGCAGATGGACGAAAGTGCTGGCTTTTTTCTTTTTTTTTTTTTTTTTTTTTTTTTCTTTTTTTTTTTTGTTTCCTTTTTTTTACAGTGCCATGTCTACTTTGAATTTATTCTCTTAGTCTTAAGGAAAAGCTAATTTGAAGAAGGAAAGCAGATGAGATGGCGTCACTGTTTTCCATAATTAAGTTAGTTTGGGGCAAAAAGAGCGTCTAGTGTAACCAGCCAAGTCAATGAAAGTGTTGTAAACTAAAAGCACTGTTGCTGGAGTTCATCTGACTCTTATTTTATCCGGCTTTTGTTGTGTAAAGAGCATCTTGAGCAAACAGTTACACAGTTCAAAATGTTAATCCACTGCTAGGTGCCTCTCGGGCTCCCAGTCTGGAACTTGCTCACACGCTGTGCCATTTAAACAAGCTGTGTGAGGCATATGCTTGAAATGAAGCACAAGAGTCATGAAGCAATCAAAATTGAAGGGAAAAGGTTAATGGTTTAGTATTATGTGACAAGGTAGCAACAGAATATTGTTTACATCAAAACCCAAACAGTTCTATTTTATCTACGTGCAGACTATCCAGCTTGCTGTGAAAATAGAGTAAGAAATCTGAGGGTGTAAGTTTATTTCTTTAGTTTATGGGAAAGAATTGGCTTTTTTTTTTCAGGGAAGGACGTCAATTCCTTATTAATGGACTTCCTTCCATAAAAAGATAAGATGTTTGTTTAGAAAACTTTATTTATGTGCAACTGTTACTAACAGGAAGACCCTGCAAAAGGGCAACATGTTTATTTCTAGTGAAGCTAGCACATTAATAGAGAATGAAAATGTTCATGATCTGAACTTTTAGAAGGATTTTTTCCTTTTAAACTAATTCTGTGAAGTTATGTAGAAAAGCAAATACTGTAGCTGTTATGAATAAACGTAGCTTGAACTTCAACCCAACAGACCAGTTATATTTAACTCATTGTCAAGCTCCAGGGCATTCCATTTCTTTACACTGTAGTTAATCCTTTAGGAGTATATTTATCATCTCCCTGCCTAGTGATTGCAATCAGGAACTTCCATGAAGACTGAGATATTTTAGTTATGCTTTAGATTTTCCCCCCCTCATTTTTCTAGATAGATGGAGGACTGCGATGTAATTTCAGTGCTTCTCATTTCTTGTCTGCTTGGGGCTTGCAGCAGTCAACCTCCTTGAGAGAAAGGTCCCTGCAAGATCTCAACAAACATCAGTTTCTCTGTCTCTCTGCAGCTACCTTTTCCTCAATGCATCTGTGTTAAATTTCCTCTAGAAAATACTCTCTTCTAAGCAAGGAATGTTTCAGTGTGCTGACCAAGTTACAAAGGAGAGCAAAATCCAACAGAGAAGACTTTTTGTTTGTTTGTTTTCTTATTTCCTTTTTTTTAATGTTTACCATATGATGGAATTTGATGGACTTGAAACAATATTCTTCAAAACCTCAGGGTAAAATAACAGTTCTGATATGAAGTGCAGATGTTTGGAGACCTGCTGGAGAAGCAAGATGATCTACTCCTTTCCAACCCACAGTGTGGAGCCTGAACCACTCAGATGTGCAGTGTGGGCAAAAATGAAAATCCTTTGCAATCTCTATTTGCTGTCAGTGAACACCAGCATATTTGTATGAAGAATGGCAGGGGAGAATTTGGGGTATTTTAAATGGTGCGGGAAGGTGTGTATATAGAACCTCTTGTATATAGAATGTGGAAAATATATATTTAATATATATATATACAATATAGTGTTCTATATAATATACAGAATATATTATATATAGAATCTCTTGAGAATACAATATTCTGTTTGTGACAGCAAAACTTGGGGCAGCCTCATGGTAGGCATTGTGTAAACTTAGTCTTCACCCTCAAAAAAAGATGCAGCCCCTGCAGGCAAAATGCATGATGGAAAATCTGTATAAATATTGGTTGCAGAGCACAGTGGGAAGAGGTGGTTGCTTAAAGCTGCACGTGAAGTCTGACAGAATTAAACATATCTCTTGAGCTTATTCAGTGACCCCTGAAAAAAATAGTGTGATTTGATTAATTTCCTAGGTGAATTGTAAATGTAAGTATTTGAATCTTTGGGAAGCTGAGAATATTGTTCACTGACAAATCAGTTTATGGAAATAATTCATTTGTGTGTGTGTATTTGAGAAAGTACAGAAATAGGAGTGAGGGGAGATGATAAAGAAGGCCCCAGGGACTTTCTGTAAGAGCCTTTTCTACGAGATGGAAGAGCTTTATTCAAAATAAAATCATGAGGCTTTTAGGAGACAACATCAGAATTGGAATTGATGATCAGTGCCTTCATCTGCATAATGGCTGTAATGTCAACTCCAGAAGCCACAAATGAAACTGGTAGGCGGTGGGAAATAAGCCATGCACCAGCTCTTCGAGTTGCAGAGATTTTCAAAGCAGAAGCTCCTTCTTGTAATATGTCGATATCAAGGAAGGCATCTGGGATTTGTTACTAGCAATTCAAATCTGCGTACTGAGAGGAATGAGGCAATATAAAAGATATGAATATTCCAGCATTTGTTTCATAGACTTTAATTTCATTTGCAATATGGTAAGATAGAGTTTCAGTAAGTTAATAAAATTTGTATCGTTGATTCTAATGCAGGGGAGGATTTGGCCTCACACTTGTAGAAGTTATCCATTATAGAAAGAAAGCCTTGAAAATTGTGCTTGTTTATGCTTATAGACTGTATATATACACATTATATAAAATATAGAGACTATACTATACTGTATACAGTGTATATATAAAAATATATACTATACTATACCTTTTTTCTTACTAAGAGTACTCCATTTATTGAAGATGCTTAATCACATGATTAAAAATGAGTATCATTGCCAGAGAGAAGCAAAATTTTACTCGAAACACTGTTGGCAGAACATTGCTTTGAACTTACATCTACAATATTCTTGATCATTTTTTATGCCTAAATGCAAATTC